AGGGTCTGAAGAAGGGTCTAGGCCCAAAATGTCAGCCTTCCTGCTCCTCTGATGCTGCTTGGCCTGCTGTGTTCATCCAGCTCTACACCTTGTTATCTCAGGATAACAGCATCGATGGGCAATAAAAGGAATTTTTTGATTTGATTTGATTTGATTTATTATTGTCACATGTACCTAGGTACAGTTAAAAGTTTTGTTTTGCATGCAGTACAGGCAGATCATACCATACAAAGAGCATTAGGGTAATAGAACAGAGCGAGAAAACCAATTTTGCGGCTGCAGAGAAAGTGCACAAAGAACGAGATCAACATTAAATTTAAAGTTTGAAAGGTCCATTCAGAAATCTGATAACAACAGGGAACAAGCTGTTCTTGAATCTGCTGATATGTGTGTTTAAGCTTTTATATCTTCTGCCCAACAGAAGAGGTTGGAAGAGATTGTAACTGGGGTGGGAGGGATTTTTGATTATGTTGGCTGCCTTCCCGAGTTAACAAGAAGAATAGATTGAGTATAAAAGGGAGAAAGGCGTTGGAGGCTATCACAGGCTGAGATGAAGTGAGGTGTGAGGAATCTCATGTGGAGCATTGGGACATTGAGGACCAAAGGGCCTGTTTCAATGCTGTAAATTCTGTGAAAAAATTCATACCTTGCCATCTAGGTTGTACTTTGAAACCCCCACCATCTACTCACCCACCATCCACCCCACATTTTTACAGTTGTAACCTGGGCTGACTTTATTTTACATTTGCTTTAGTTTCAACCACTTCGTCTTATTCCTAAAACACAGTTTTTGTTGTTTTGTGCTTGGGTTAACACTTTATTTTCCCTCTTTGGGGAAGTATTAAAAGGCTTTAATCCAGAGGCTTTATGAAGCTGATTATCAACTTGTTGGAACCATGTCACAGATGCTACTTCTGTGGCCAATACATTCTGGAGTGTGACTTGAAGCCAGAGTTTCTGGCTCAGAGATAGGGGTGTGAAATCTAGTGAGCCATGAGGCCTAGTTTCAACACTGTAAAATGTCCCAAGAAACCACGCTAGGCTGTTATAAGGCAAAAGTTTCCATGCAGTATTCAAGCGGGTTTAGTCAGTTGAGGTGGGAATTTATTTAGGACTGGACAATAAATCTTCATCAAAGTTGCAAGAGTATTATTGATGGTAAATCTGTGTAAACTAATTGTAAACACTTGTTTGAACTAAACAGCCACTGTGAAGACTTGAATCACCGTAATCACATTTTCACAGTCATTTCGAAATCTGTGTTGCAAATTATTCCTTCATTTAACCAGTTTGTTTTCTTCAGTGCCTTGTCGTGCTGAATTAGGGAGTTGGCAAGTTAAATATTGACAGCGGTGTAGTGTCAGGAGTGGGCTTGCAGTTTTACTTATCATGGCTCCTTAGCTAATTATTCTCTTAGGTTAAGTTTCTGGCTGTTTGCATCTGCTATGTTGGTTACACTGTGTTTGATTAAAATGTAACCATATCTAATGCTTAGCAAAGGGGAAAATAGCCTGTGTTTTTGTTCTTTCAGTCCAATCTTTTTTGCTTGTTACATTTTCATCATTGTCCATGCATTCCTTGGTTGATAATCATACTCTAAAACGGTCAATTTTGACAATTATTGCAACAGTGGTAGAATTTATTCCACATTAGTTCCCAATAAGTGATGTCTAAATATAAATCTTCTAAGACTTGAGTGTTTTTCACCCTGAAATCACTTTGAATTGTGACCTTGTGGTCACTTATTCCCTGTCCATGTTGCACATGTTTGGCCTTCTATTTATCAGGCTGATCTCCCCCAGCTTCCTGTGATGGACTTGGCAGACACTGTGTTCTGCTGCTGCAGCTTTGCACAGCATTGTAAACTTGCAGCTAATGTAGTCAGGAATTTGTGAAGGATTGTGTCAGATCACTGTACTCCTTATTAGGTTCGCTGGGGATTTCCAAAGTGTTTTTCATCTCTTTAAAGTCTTGCACTGCAGAGTTAAGCCAGGGAGCGATGAGAGATCACTGGCTAGCTGGGTCATGTGGTTCAGCCTTATTTATACATTGTGTGTCAAAGAAAGTGAGTTGGGGAAAGATTCCAGTGTCCATTGAATTGATGGTTAAAATGGAGACTAAAGAAGGTAAGGAGAGAAACTAGATGAGAGCAGGGTGAAAACCTTATTTTAATTGTGCTGCCATTGGTGGCTGAGCCTTCAGTAGCTACACTCTAAGTTCTGGTATTCCCTCCTTTGAGCCTTCAGTAGCTACACTCTAAGTTCTGGTATTCCCTCCTTTCAAACCTCCTACTCCCTCCAATTTTTAAGATAATCTTTCCCAGCTAACTTTTGGTTTTCTGACCTAACGTCCCAGGCTGTGGGCTGCCTTATCTTGTTTGATATTGCTTTGTGAATTGCCATGGGACAGTTTATGGCATTAAAGATAGTATACAAACATAACTCATTGCTGAGAGTGATTCTGGTCTGTTGAAACCAGTGCACTCAAATACATTGCATGGGATGTTTCTAAAAGGAGTTTTTTTTTCCCCCACATTAGATGTAAGCTGTCTGTCGTGCAGCTTTATGTATATGGTAATCTTGTCGTTGCCGGCTCCCTCAAAGAAACTGAAAAGTCTTTACTTTCTATCCTCCCAACTTCATGGTTTGATCCTGCGAATTTGCCTTGAGGAGGTACCGTGGGTGCAAAACCATGATTTCATTCCTCCCTGTCTCTGCAATCTCTCAGGGCCATGAGGCTCATGGATCTCTGCACTGACCCAATTCTCCTCTCTTTTCACTTCTACGCCAAGGGTGACTGTACATTCAGCTGTCTATAGGTCCAACACTCTGGAATTCCTTTCTTAAACCTCTGCCTTGGCACCTCTCCTCCTCAGTTGTCTCTTAAAACCCACCTCCTTGACAAAACTCTTGATCGCCTTCTTGACGCCCGATACAGTCAAATTTTGTTTAGTAGCATTCTTGTGATGTAATGTCTTGCTGCCTTAAAGGTGCAATTTAAACTCAGGACACTGTTGCTGATTTGTCAGCAATTGTTAAACAAAAATTCCACTCTTTTCAGATGTCAGTCAAACAGGTAATTTGGCTATGATCACTTTGTTATGTGAAAATGATAGCTGTATATCCAAAATTACTGCACTTCAGAAGCACTTAATTGGATGGGTTGTGCATTGGAAAGTCCTGAGGGTTGCACAAAATATAAATTCAAGTAACTCTTCCAAATGTCCTTGTTAATAAATCAGTAACCTGGCCATATCCCTCACATCATTACAGTCCAATTCTTGTTGCTAAAAATGTGATAGCGTCATGATTACAAGGACAGTGCACCCTGGATGATCATTTCCAAGCCTGATGAGTCTCCTTTGTTTAAGAATGATCAGAAGTACCAGGTTTAACAACACATCTGACTTTATGCATTCATGTTTCACTTTAGGGTGCCAAGATGCGGGGACGGTTAGGAAGTATGGACAGCTTTGAACGTTGCAACAGCCTTGCATCAGATGCTTCCAGGGTGAGTCCTGGGGTCAGTCCATCTTTTTAGCCTCTCGCCCGCCCACTCAAGCGAAACCTGATTGAGTTCAGCAGTGACACTTTTCAAACGGTAGATTTGTTTTGCTCGAATACTTTCCATGGAGCAGGAAGTCTGCTGGTGAAATCCAGAGGAAGTGCTTGCGATTGCAGTTCCAGCATTCAAGGAGCACTCCAAAATCACTGAAGATAGTGTCATCAGCAAAAGAGAAGTGAAAAGGCTGATCACCAGCATTACTTTAGAAAACTTCAAAACATAGCTTGCTTATCAGCAGCATGCAGCGGTATTTGTAAATCTTCACTGGATTAAGCTCGGCAGGATATGGGAGTTGGCTAGATAGCACAAATTAGCATACAATGGGTATCTGACAGTGCATTGACAGATTTGCAGGAGTTCTGTTCTGCTGTCAGCTTTTTAAAAGTGTGCATGTCATTGCTTTTTGTTTTCTGACTTCTGCCGTGGTTCTGGACACAGGACGCTTCTCCAGGGGAATCCCCTCCCAACTCTCCACCCGTCAGCCCCCGGGCGTCCCCCATCTCCTCACTGGGCCAGCATTTCACAGAGGAAGATCCCGACTCGCCGCAGTTCCGGAGACGGGCTCACACTTTCAGTCACCCGCCATCAAGCAGCAAGCGGAGAATCAGTTTTCCCAATGAGAAGTTGGCCCACAGCCGCTCTCCTATCTTTCGCCAGCAGTCGGAGATTATTCGGAGCAGGTAAAGAATTTGTGGGTTGCGGAGCGGGGAAGGAACATCATTGTCTATAGGTGAAACTGTTTTGAATTCCTTTGAATTGAGTCCCACATGATTTTTTTTACATTATACCTCTCTTTTTGCATTGGGAGCTGTCTTATCTCATAGAGGTGCACAAAGTACAAAAGCAAGATAAAACTTTGTAAAATGCTGGTTCAGCATCGACGGGAGCATTGGGTCCAATTATGAGAAAGATATGCAGGCATTAGAAAGGATATATAACATGTGCAAAAGAAGGCTTCCATTGATAAGGGATGTCAGATGTGTGGATAGATCGGAGATGCTGGTCCTAATCTTGGCAAAGAAAAGTTTGACAGACAATTTGATGCAGGTGTCCAAACTCCTGAGAGAAGATGGCAAATAATGCAATTTTGTAACTTGATTCAACTCAATCCAATGACGTAGACCATTGTGTGGAATTGCTGATCCAAGCACAGTGCTTCGATCTAAAGCCTTGATTAAAGCATGAAGTATCTGCTTTCCCTTTTCACCATTTCTTATGAAATTCTGATTACGTTCTTTATAGTCTGATTTATCATATTGCTTCACATAAGGGAAGCATTTTCCACAAGTCTTTTATGAATGTTGCCCTGAATCGACCTATATTCAAACAGGGACAATGACGAGTTTCAGATTGCCAGCTAGTGTTCCAAATGTTACCTGTTGTGGTGGTTCAGAATGGTTTTTACAGTGACCTACTGACTTCACTGACAAAGTATATGTTTATTGATGGGCAACTTTTTTTTTAATAGAACTCCTGAATTAAACAGAATTGTGATTACAGACTAGTCTTAGAAATTGAATCGCATTTATCAGCTAGCTCCTTCTTGCTGTAAGTATATATATAAATAAATGCAACTTTTGTAAATTAACATCAACCTTCATTTTATTAACTAAACTATGTATTTTGTATTGGAATTGGATCACTAAATAGCAGTTAAAAACAAACAGATGTTTTGAATTTCTTGAGCCAAATTCTTTTAAAATCTATCTTAAGTTTCATTGAATGGTAATGTCTCTGTTAAACAGCCTCCATTGTTTTGCACTTTTATCATCTTTTTATTTCCAATGTGTTACTTGTAACACGGACTGTGGACTCTGATTAAAGGATAGAGATAGTTGAATGGTCATTTTCATAGCTTCTGTCTGGACCACATGCTCAGAGTGATTAGAGTCTTGAGGTGCTAGCTGGTTTGTAGTTTTCACCCTTAAGTTTTCCTTCCTTCTGCCGCTCTGCTAACTTGACTCCTTGCCAAGATGTGAATACCAGGTTTTCCTAGCTGTCCAGTCTTGTTTGTGTTTCATAAGGAGAGGATTAGTGAATAATTCCAAATCCCTTCCTTTCCCAACATGAAAGTCATTGAAATTGTACGTGCTAATCTTTGAATGACCTATTTTGATACTTTTGTTAAATATTTGATTATTTTACTCAGAGACTTGAGACTGGGGAATCTCGTCTTGCATTTTGGCTGTGTTTCCCTACATCCGCGCAATGTTCTTAAACTCGGGTCAAATGCAACTTAGGAGTAAAAGGTTCGAGAACAGATCCCTTCAAAAGAGGAAGGGAAACTAATGGCATGGCACTTCAATAACAGAATTAGCCAAGATCTTATAATAGCAAAGGACAATGCAAAGTGCCAATACATGGAACACAGAATATGTTCCCAGAAAACTTTAATCAATATATCACAACTTTCCTTTAAAAACCGCACAATATTTTAAGTTTATCCAGATAATACTTTTTCTGTTTCTTTCCATCTACAGTTGTATGGCTCTTCATGTTAGCATTATTTTCTGCACAAATCATAATTTACCGACTAATTCATATACCAACACATTTAGCTTGAAAAGCTAAGCATACCGAAATGGACAGTAATAAATACATTATCAAATAAATTGCAGATAAGCAGCATTATATTCAGTGATAACATTTACCTGGTGGAGTGCATTATTGTTGTTTAAAGGGTAGCAGCTGCAAACTGGAAAGGTAGGTTAAAGTATCAGTTGGAGACTTCAAGTCATCATTGAAAGCTTTTACCCAAAATTATATCCTTTGGATATGTTTGCATATCCAAGTTTTTTAAAAAAATGTCTCCTGCAGAACTTTCCTATTTATGGAGAGATCACTTTTCACAAGGCAGACTGTTGCTTCTTACTCCACTGTCTGACCACTGTTTTGTTTTCCTGTGTTTTGTCTTTGTTTTCCCCTTCTGGTTCTGCTCACTCAGCCCCATCAATATTGTGAGAAGCAATTGCAGTAACTCAGAGAGCGAATCCACTTCCAGCAGCCTTCCCTCATCCCTGTCCGTCCCGACTTTCCTGAAGCCCTTTTACACCAACACCAGCAGGCTGGTGCAGCAGTCGGAGAGTGGGACCTCCAAGAGGTGAGAGCGGCCTGCAGCCTGCTTGCGAATCCTGCCCTAATATTGCACCGTGTTGCCTGATCTGTGTGACTAATTGATGTGCCTGTGGTCCTGCCAGATATTTGTCACTGTTTCTTTGATGCTGTATTTGCTGTGGCCTGCAGTGAATAAATAAGTGTGAATCTTTGCAGTAAGTTTACTCTGTGTAATCTGCTTTAGCTTCAATGTGCTCTGCACAAGTGGACAGAAAATGTGACTTAATATTGGTGAAAATGTTTGTATGATTTTAGGGAGAAAATCTCACTGTTCAAGTCCTTTGAAACATCATTTGCAAAGAATTATACAGTGATTTTTGTTGGCCAAAGGTATTAAAGGGTATGGAAATCAAAATAGATGGTCCCAGGGTATAGTTGAACCTTGACTTATAAGTAAATGATAGAATGGGCTCAAGGGACCATATGGCCTACATCTCTGTCCTATTTTGCCCTGTCACAAAATGATTAGCACGATGAAAGCTGTTTGTTCCAGCTTTATTCAATCACCCAGGAGCACAGTGAAGTACATTCGTACAGGATGTATATTTGAAAGTGATGACGTTAGAGAGCTGTAGAGATTGAGCTGGAGAGTGGGACTAGCTGGGTTCCTCTTTCAGGAGCTGGTACAGACATGTGGGGCCAAATGGACTCCTGTACTGTAAAATTCTATGATTCCATGACAGAAACAGGTCTGTTAGCCCATCCAGCTCTGCTGCATTAATGCCCTAATCGAGCCTCCTACCCTCTTTCCTCATGTAACTTTATCAGCATAATCCTCTATTCACTTGTCTGTCATATCTTTGTCTAGCTTCCTCTCAAATGCATCTACATTTTTACTCAGTGGTGGCAAGCTCCACAATCATTCCACTCTTTCTGTGAAGATGTTACCTTTAAGTACGCACTTGGATTTCTTGGTGATTAATGGCCTCCAGTTTTGCAATTTCCCACAAATGGAAATATTGGGTTGCATTTTGGTTGCCAAAGCGGATAACTCGGGTTCAGAAATTTCTCAACTTCCTGGGACCCGGTTCGTAAAACATGCCCTGAAAATTTCCATTTTCAATTTAGGGTGGAGGGCAGGTGCAGGATGAGCCTGTCCATTGATCCAGAAACCAGATTTAGGTAGCGATGGGGTGGTGTGTAGTGAGTTAGTGCCAAGGCAGGCTGGATTACCTCAGATCGCCTAGTTGTTTCAGAAGTTGCTAGGCTGGCTAAATCTCAAACCTCACCCCCACCAGACCTTCATGACCTCTGTGCCAATTGATGTTTCCCATTTTTCCATATACCCCCTGTGCCACCCTCAGTATCCACCTTATGCAGTCTTCAAAAACCACGAGGAGATGACTAAAAAAAATCTGCTAACAATCTAATACATAGTTAGTAGTGAAAAATAATTCCCTTTCATAAAATCTATTTAAGACTCTTAAATTTCCTTGAGCATTTTTAAAATGAAGATAATTAAGCTTCTATTCAGTAGCCTCATCAGAGGCATATAACTCTTTAATAGCCTCTTTAAATCTCGGCTGAAATTCAAATGTGGTACAGATGCAGTCATGCTCTTCTGCGGATTGCATTTTTCTCATCAGACATTAGACCAAGGACCTGTTTCCCCTCGCAGCCCAATGAAAAGGATGTCTTGGTCTATTTGAAGAAGGGGAGTTATGTTGGCAATATTTATCCCTCAGTTGACATTGCAGAGAATGTCCAGTTGTTATCATACTCGTGTTTTGGGGAAGCTTGCTATCATCATATTGGCTGCTACATCCAACATTATAACATTATTTCAAAGTACGCATTAGCTGCAAAATGCTTCGAATTCCCTGATACATAAAACAATATTTGTATGATTGTATATGTGTATATAAAAGGCAATGTATAAATCAACACTTTATTTTTCCAGAGAAATTTTTTTTGGTAAATACAAGAAAAATGATATGTGGGATGTCTGCTCACTGTGAATTCTGATATTGACCAGTGGGTTACACCTAATGTAAATGAACTGCTTGTGAGTTGTTCATGATGTGTAGTGGTTGTAGCCACTGAAGACTGAGCTTTGGTAGAATACATTATTTGGCTGCCTCTCAGTATTGCTACAGGACTTGTATAAAAGATGCTTATTGAATGAAGAAGTAGCATTTGAGTTTGAAAATTAAAAATTGGTTATGCCATTTGAAGTGGTAGTGAATTAAATCCAAACATCCCCCAGTCTGGAGGGACGATCGTACCCTTGGGCATTTCTGAAAGGTCAGGTAACGATGGACATTTCTGGAGATTATGGAGAAAATTCTCAGCGGGGACGATGACCACTAATGGAGAAAAATAACTGATGTAAAAGTCATAAATTACTGGAAAAGTTCAGCAGGTCTGGCAGCATCTGTAGAGAGAAATCAGAGTTAACATTTCAGGTCGAGTGACCTTTCCTCAGAACTGGGAAGCTGAAACGTTAACTCTGATTTCTCTCCACAGATACTGCCAGATCTGCTGAGCTTTTCTAGCAATTTCTGTTTTTGTTTCTGATTTATAGCATCCATAGTTTTTTTCAGTCTTAAAGTAAAAGCCTTCTTGA